CCTCCCTCCCTCTCTCTCCCCCTCTCCTTCCCTCTACCACTCTCCCCTGCTCACACGTGCTCTCTCTCCAAAATTTAAGAAAAAGAAAAGAAAAATCAGAATTCTGAAAGTAAAGTATCATAACTTAAAGCAGTATTTAGGACACCGAGTTCTGGCTGCAGACTTCACACCACACTGAGTCCTAGCAGCAGGGTCGCAACAGGCTCCAGGAGAGCCGCGCTAACCCTTCCACACACCGCACCTGCCTGTCAGGAGGACGTGCACCCACCTGTCGAAGATTAATGTAAACCGCGTTCTGGAGAAATTCTGAAGCATCCATGCTCCGCTTCTGAATGGCAAGGACTCGCACAGCCTTGACACACGCTTCTAACTCAATCACTCCGGCATTCTTGTACTGTAGGGTACAAAGGGAGATCCTCATCAAAAAAGATGATTTTCTACCGTATTGTAAAGCCTATATACCACGGGGAACGCGGGGACCCTTCAGGGCACCTCCCCAAGTTCCAGGACCTAACAGTCCCTCCCAAGGGGGGCGGGTGGAGAGCAGAGAGGGAGGACCGTATTGGGGGAACTCTTATCACGCCACACTGTGTGGCTCGGAGCCTGGAGCAGGCTGCTGAGTGGCCCCTGGACCCCGACCCAGTGCCCTCCCTCCAGCACCCTTTGCCCCGCCAAGGCTGCACCACAGAAACTCTGCACACTAGCTGTCGGCCTGTTTTCTTTTCCACTCCAACCGGTTTTGTTTTCTTTCTAAGTATCCCGAGCTGGAGTGATTTCCAATGGCGGTATCTGCAGAAACTTGCAGTTGAAGAAAAGTTTAACAGAGATAAATCCATGTACACCAGGGCCTAAAGACTACCCGGGGGGAGGAGGTCCCTCACAGATACTCCTACGGAGGCATCAAACACTGGAGTCCCCCCTTTCCATCAACAAGTATTTACCGAGACCCCCCATGGGCCCAGCAGGCAGAAATGCTCGGGAGAATGCAGTCTGTCCACCTACCAATTGTTACAAAGGTCACGTTTCTTACTAAAAGTATTTTTATAAGGTAGAAAAAGAAAGTGCTGTGCTGTTAGGGCAGCCTCCTTCTTCCCTCTTTTCAAGTATGTAACACGTATGTAATTCATGGCATGGGACAAAAACCACCACACACAATCATGAGGAGAAACTCTGCTTCCCTAACTGGCAACACTGAAGTCAGAAATCACCAATTTTTACATACCATTTAACAGCACAACAATAAACTCACAGAAGGACTTTATTCCACTGAAATTAAATGACTTCTTTTCCTTCAAAACCCTTGAAACAACTTCCATGTAAGTGGCAATAAAAGCCAACTCCATTTTTTTCACAAATGTTTATGTTACACTTACGTATTTTTAATTATATTATAAAGATTTAAACTGCAATCATAAAAAAATTGCTCTTACATCAATAGAAAGGTATCCACAATCAGCAGGGATTAGGTAAAGAATGGACCATTACTAAAAACCTCCATACCTGCCTTCCATAAGCATTCTCCCGGAACAAAAGTTCTGGGATGCAGGGACCAAGCCCCGTTCTCACTACTGAGTCCTTACTAAGGACTGTCCTAGCAGCACAGATCCCAGCATAACATTGTATAATCAATACTTCAGGAATAAATGAGGGAACTCTCTCGTTCAATTCTAATACAAAAACCCTAAAATAAATATTATCCTTATGTTAGGTTCTAAAATGAGACTTAAGAAAGTAAAGTTTCTTGGGGCGCCTGCGTGGCTCAGCCTGTTTTGGATTCTGTGTGTCTCCCTCTCTCTCTGCTCCTCCCCTGCTCATGCTCTGTCTCTCTCTCTCTCTCTCTCTCTCTCAAAAATAAATAAACATTAAAAAAAATTAAAAAAAAAAAAAAAGAAAAGTTTCTTGCCCAAGGTTACAAAGCGAGGATCTGGTGGAGACAGGGTTTGAATTGCATCCATCTGACCCCACAACAACCGGTGGAGACAAGGTTTGAATTGTGTCCATCTGACTCCAGAACTAATATGGAGCAAACATGCCATTAGGAACCAAGTGACCTACCAGGGTCGGGCCTGGTTAGTACTTGGATAGGAACCAAGTGACCTTCACTTGAGAGGCCACAGGAACATAGCTAAAGGTAGGTGAACACCGAGAACTCTGCCCGACACCATAGCTCAAGCGTGGAGGGTCCTCTGCCTCCCAATCCAGCCGTCACTGTGTGACTTCAATCGAGTCACGTACCCTCTCTGGGCTTTAGTCTCTCACCTATGAAAAAGTATGAGGCTATATGCTCTCTAAAGTTCCCTCCAACTATAAATACGATGACACCAATGTCTCGGGAGAATGTCTATGTCTCCATTTCATTTCTTCTAATAAAAGAGAATTTCCTCGGCCACAAATCAGAAATCAAATAAAAAATCATTTGTGAAGCCACCAAGAATCTGCTTACAAGATTTCACTATCACTCACAGTGAATGAAAACCGAAAGATGGTGCCTCTCCCTTGGTAAGTGAGAGGCAGCCTGACGTGTGTGTGCATGTGTGTGCGTGTGCACGTGTGTGTGTGCGTGTGGGCACGTGTGTACAAATCAAATACGATCAAATCAAATCTGAGAAGTACACAGAGATTCTTATACCACTGTCGTCTCACGGTGGGGGAGGACGTAAAGGAGGAAAGACAAGGAGCTAAGAGGAAAACGAGGCAAATGAACAGAACTACAACCAGAAAAAGGAAGATATCACTTGCTCTGTCTGCTTGCATCACATACACAATATTAGGAACGGGCTTCTCCCCAGATGTCTCGTTGAGCACGTACTCAACGGAGGAAGGACAGACGATGACCGTTTTTTTATTGAGCAATACAAACGGGTCTGCCCCGGTAGTAGGCATTTTACATGTATAAATTGTTTACTCTGATTAAAAACTCGATGCAGGGGTGCCTGGGGGACTCAGCCAGTTAAGCGTCTGACTCTTGATATCTATCGGCTCAGGTCATGATCTCACGGTTCATGGGATCGAGCCCCGCATTGAGCTCTGTGTGACAGCATGGAGCCCGCTCAGGATTCTCTCGCTCCTTCTCTCTCTGCCCTTCTCCCACTATCTCACATGCTCGCTCTCTCTTGCTCTCACTCTCTCAAAATAAATAAATATTTAAAAAAATTTTTTTTTAAATCTTGATGCAGTAGGCCTTAACCTCACCATTTGAGAGAAAAGAAACCCGGGGCTGAGAGAGCATACCAAGGAAACGAGGTCAGACGGCACAGACACAGTGGAGGAGAGACTCAAATCCAGTTCGGTCTTACTCCAGAGGCTGCTCCTTCCACTCTGGGGACTGGAAAACTCAAGACCCACGGCCACCTGGTTCCCCTGCTGTGCCCACGGCAGACAAGTCTCTCCCACCAAGAAGTCTCGAATTCTTACTAACACAGTGCTGTGGGCAGCCACTAACTTTCCATCAGATATGGCTGGGGAAGAGCCATCCACCTGCCATGCCCGCAGGGCTCTGCCACAAAGGCAGGAGAGCCTGGTTCCTGTGCACGTTCAGAGCCTTCCCTGGTCTAACCCTGGCTCCTTCTGCTTCTCTAGTCCAAAGGCAGTCACCAAACTGCTAGGATTAGTTACAGGAGCCACGTGACTTCTCTCCATCTGTCTGCCCACCTACAGAACTTAGCTATGATCATTTTGATAATCTTGGAAACAAAGTTTAAAAGACAGAAAAGAAAGGAGTTTGAAAAAAGTACTTAATATTTAAGATTTTTCAACAGCCAGTTACAAAATGAATATTAAAACCTCAATGTGCCTTTCTACATTTCAGCTATAAGCAGTTCAAAAATATAATGGCAAAAAATCTCATCCACCAAATTAACAAAAACACATGCAATAACTAGAAATAAACTTAAAAACAATGCTCACGTTCTCTACGAAGAAACCTGCAACTCTGTATTGCGGGACTTAAAATAAGATGTGTGAGTGCAGAGACATTAACATATTCGACAGAGACAGTAATTTTGCAAAGATAGGAGTTCTCCTAAAAATAATTCAAAACTTACTTTAAGCCCCATGAAAATTCCAAACTGTTTCGTGTGTGTGTGTGTGTGTGTGTGTGTGTGTGTGTGCGTGTGTGAGATGAACGAAATATTTCAGGATTCTTGAGGAATTATTATTCATAATACTAGCCAAGAAAATCTAGGATGGGAGGAAGGGATTTTAAAGAAAAGAAGACACACTAGTATATATTAAAGAAACCACAGGAGATAAAATATCATGATGCTGGAGTAAGAAAAGAAATTCGTAGAAAGGAATAAAAAGCTCAGAATTAGACTCCAATATATGTATGTATTCAGTGTAAGTGGGATTTCAAATCAGAGACAAAAAGTATGAATTCCATAAATTGTGGTGGAATGAGTAGATAGTAACCTGGAAAAAATAAATGCTATTTCTGTGTCATAATGTACACAAAATAAATTACAGGTGAGGAGATAAATATTTTAAAATGCTAACCTCATCAAATACAATACTTTCCATATACTTAACTCTGCTTATCCTCACCACAACACTTTCAGATAGGTACTATCATCATCCCCATTTTAAAGATTAAAAAAAAAAAATGAGGATGGGGCTCCTGGGTGGCTCAATCAGTTAAGCATCGGACTCTTGATTTCGACTCAGGCCATGATCTCATGGTTCATGAGCTCAAGTCCCACATCAGGCTCTGCACTGACAGTGGGGGCCTGCGTGGGATTCTCTCTCTCCGTCCCTCTGTCACTCATACGTACTCTCTTTCTCAAATAAATAAACTTTATTATAAAAAAAAAAAACTGAAGAAAAGAGTTCCATGTTATTGTTAAGGTATTTCTAAGCATAATACCAAAGGTGAAAACCCAAAAGGAAAAAATTTACTATATTAGAAACATGTTTTGACCACAAAAAGAAAAAGAAAAGAAAAGTTCCTGAACAAAATCAAAGGCAAGCAACCTTAGGAAACAGATTAGTAATAGGCGTCAATGAAAGAAAAGAAGCTGGTATTCACCATATATAAAGAGCTATAACAGAGCAACAAGAAAAACACCCTAACTTAAATGTGTACAAAGGACACAAATGGGTAATTCATATAAGAAACATAAATGCTATGAAGCAAAAACTGTCCAATATCTCACTGGTAATCAAATCCAAACTAAAACAATGGGAAGTTACTTTCACCCATCACGGTGACAAATACTCTGAAAGGATACAATAGCTGGTGTTTGTGACAGAGCAGACTGTTACCCTTTTGGCACGACACTATGGCAATGTGTAAGGAAACTCTAAAAACACCATGTATGCTCTTTGACTCAAGTCCACTTCTAGGTACTATCTCCTTAAAAAAAATAATAAAAAAATAAATCAATCCAAAAAGATTTCTCTACCAGGGCGTTTATCACAGCACTGTTTACAATTGTGGCAAGAAAAACTGAAATGAAATAATATTCGTAGAAGAGAATCAGTTAAATAAATCTATACCTTTTCATTCCCTATTGGAGAAGGAATTTGGGGAGTAACTTGAAAGTAACTTATCACAAGTGTAAATGTCATATCCAGTGATTAAATTCCCAGAAATCTTTTTTTCTTAATTTTCAATATTTAATTTTTGTATTTTTGAGAGAGCGTGAGTGGGGGACGGTCAGAGAGAGAGGGAGACACAGAATCCAAAGCAGGCTCCACACTATCAGTGCAAAGTCAGGCACGGGGCTCGAACCCACGAACCCTGAGATCATGACCTGGGCCGAACTCGAACGCTCAACCAACTGAGCCACACAGGAGCCCCAAATTTCCAGAAATCATAACGAAAGGGATAATCACACAAGAATATATGTACAAGAATGTTCACTGATGCATTTTTTTCCTAACAGGGGAAAGTGAGAAAACCTAAGCATCCATCAAAAGGTAAGAATTTAGGAAATCAGAGCAAGCAGTGAGCTCTGTGGGAGCAGGCATTTCGCTTTGCTCTAGGTGCTGTCTACTCCCCGTGTTGGGTTCCTGATGGCTTCTTACAAAAGTGTTGACAAATGATTACATCCACACTTTAGAAGACTTTCCACCCGAGGGGCGCCTGGGTGGCTCAGTCAGCGAAGCGTCCAACCTCAGCTCAGGTCATGATCTCACGGTTTGTGAGTTTGAGCCTCACACATCAGGCTCTGTGCTGACAGCTCAGAGCCTGGAGCCTGCTTAGGATTCTGTGTCTCCCTCTCTCTCGGCCCCTCCCATCCTCGTACTCTGTCTCTCTCTCTCTCTCAAAAAATAAACAAACATTTAAGGGGCGCCTGGGTGGCGCAGTCGGTTAAGCATCCGACTTCAGCCAGGTCACGATCTCGCGGTCCGTGAGTTCGAGCCCCGCGTCAGGCTCTGGGCTGATGGCTCAGAGCCTGGAGCCTGTTTCCGATTCTGTGTCTCCCTCTCTCTCTGCCCCTCCCCCGTTCATGCTCTGTCTCTCTCT